TAATTTGGGATTTGGGATTTGGGATTTCGGCATTTGGGATTTCGGCATTTGGATTTTGAATTTGGGTGGCAGGTATACTCTGGGCCAACTTCTCCAGCTTCTTTTGATAATAATGTTTCATATTTCGATACTTACCTGAATGTTTATCACATGTTCCATATGCGGAAGGAGTTAATTTACCACATTCTTTGCAAGGTCTACGTTGGGGAGATTTCCAATGATAGCCACACCCTTCGGGCCTATAACTACCTCGCCTACAGACTTCCCCAGTTCTGAGGATATATTCGCAACGATAAAATGCCATATCTTTTCGATACGTTTTTTGTCTTGTACTATAAGTGATATTTCACACTAATTATTGTAGGGAATTAATTTTCATTTTGAACTTTTTTCGTACAGATAATATACATTTAACAAAAAGATGTCCGATATTGTTGCACCAACTGTCGATAGCTAAAATTTCCAGAGCGAAGCTCATTGTTCCGCAATAGAAACCATCGATCACGTGCCAGCAGAGGCCGAAGCACCACCTTCTCGACCAGAGAGCTCAGAAAACGCTGAAGAATATGAGCTCGAGAATGGAGAGAGCGGGGGTACCTACCACCAGGGGCCCAGCGCACTTCCTCAATTACAGATTTCGGAAAATGGAAAGTCGGAACAATTACTTCAATACATATTCCACTATTTTGGTGACGATTATTTGAAAGGTATTCTCTCTCGCGATGAACTTGTTGCTAAGTATGATGACGAATTAACTGCAATTCTTGAACAGGCATTAGCTAAGGGAGAAGATATTCCATTTATGGCCGTTGATGTGAAAGAATCGACTGAAAAGGTTAAAGGCCTGTCTTGTTATGTATTGCGTTTATATGGCCCCCTTATAAATGGGCAAAAAGCTGTAGTAACAATTAAAGGTATTCGAGTATTCTTTGATATTCTTGTGCCTGATGGGGAAGCTCCAAACACGTTCGAAGCAAAAATAAGGAATATTCTCTCTGACGTTATAGGTATATACAAACTAGAACATGTTAAAGCTTTTCCACTCCTTGGTTACAATGCAAATAAAAAACCATATTTACGTGTTTTTACTACCACTACTGAAGAAAGAAAGAACGCTATGAAATCTATACGTAAAAATAAATATAGTACCGCCTCAGACGATACAAGTGTATACTACCGGAAAGTTGCTCGTGAATATGGTTTCTCATTATCGGGGTGGTCGATGATAAATAATTACGCATATAACAAAAATTCTAAATTTTGTTCACATGCATTCCATGTATCTGCAAAAAATTTCCATCCTGTAGAAGATCCCACATCAATAAATACTCGCTTCCCTATCTCTGCTTTCATACGAGACCGCACACTTGTACTTACTTGGGATATCGAGACGTATAGTACACGTAAATTAGCTGGACCTCCTAGAGCGAGTTATAACGAGAATAATGTTTTTATGATTTGTATGACTCTGCATTGGAAAGATGATGCTAAAGCATTACAAAAAATCTGTCTTGTTGATATCGAGACATCACCAGACCCAGATAGGATTACAATAATATGTGGTAACCAAATTAATTTACTGAAAGCCTTTACTCTCTGTTTGCAAACCTTTACTCCCGATATTCAACTCGGATTTAGTGATTCCGATTATGACTGGCCTTTCATTATCGAAAAAGCCAAAAATTTAAATATCCTTGAATGGATGTGGAAACGAATATCAGGAGGACTATATTGGAAAAATGTTGAAGAAATTTTACGCAACGATTACTATGGAGAGATAGGCGAAACTTCTAAAAATGGTTTCTACAGCAAACCTCAAACGTATATACAAAAGAATGATGATGATAATGATTACTACGAAGAGGAAGAATTTAAAAGAAAGGCAATTTTAATTAAAATTGATGGCGACCAAAATTTCGAATCTACATTTTTAAAAATACTGGGATGTGTTCCAATCGATGTTCGTGTATCTTTTAAGAAACTTTATCCTCGATCAGAAGTAGGAAAACATAGCTCACTGAATTTTTATTTACATGAATGTGGTCTTGTGGGCAAAGTTGATATGCCGATACCCACCATGAATAAAATTTATGAAACTGCAAATGTGGAGGGAATGCGTAAAGTAGCTGAGTATTGCGTTAAAGATGCTTTAAGTTGTCAAGAACTTATGGTCGCACATAATGTAATAAATGAATACAGAGAAGTTGCTTCTATAGCCCATATATCCCTATTTGACTCGTATTATCGTGCAAATGGGATGAAGGTACGAAATCTTCTAGGTGGGTATGCTTTCAAGTGTGACGTGATATTTAGTACAAGAGTATGTAAAAATATAGAAAAAGGAAAGTATCGAGGTGCATATGTTTTTCCACCTGAGAAAGGTATTGAGAGTAAAAGGCCGATAACAGGTTTAGATTTTGCATCCCTATACCCCAGCCTTATGATGGCATATAATCTCTCTCCTGAAAAAATAATATTAAATCGTGAAGATGCGGATATCGTACGTGCTAAGGGATGTGACCTATATGAGATTGAATTCCCGTTCAATAAACGCATACTTAATGCTTGGTGCGTCTGTCATAATAATCAATCAGAAAAAAAAGGGTTATATCCTGTTGTATTAGTGGATCTCTTAAATAAGCGATTGGAACTCAAATCAAAACTCAATATATTGGGTGAGAAAAAACAACGACTCGGAAAATTAAAAAGTTCAATAGAGAAAAAAGGTAAAAATGTTCCAGACAGTTTAAACTCAGAGTACAGCTCTATATGTTTTGATTATAATTGTTTGGATTCGAAGCAGAAAGCTATTAAGGTTTTTATGAATACCTTTTATGGTGAAGCTGGAAATAGCAAATCCCCATTCTTTCTTCGAGTATTAGCTGGGGGTGTTACAACAGCAGGACAGTATATTATTAAGCTCGTTGCTGAATACGTAACTAAGAAAGGTTTTGGAATCAAGTATGGCGATACCGATTCTTTATATCTCACTTCTCCCGACAAATATTATAAAGAATGTGATTTTGCATATAATAATGGAAAAGGTGTAATTTCAAAGTTAGAGTATTGGACCAAAATGGTTGAAATTACTATGGAAGTAATGAAGAAATTACGTGATGATGTAAATACTTTTCTCAAATTGAGAACCGGTTCAAATCATCTTAGAATGGCCTATGAGGAAGTATTATTTCCAGTTTGTTTTACTGGTAAGAAAAAATATTTTGGAATTGAGCACAAAGATAAACCAAATTTTGGATCAACAGAAAACCTATTCATTAAAGGTATTGATACGGTGAAGCAGGGCAAATCCCAACTTTTTAGAACTATAGGAGATCGAATCATGAAGGAGGCTATGAATATCAATAATACACGTTCTCTCCACGAAATTGTTGAAAATGTTCTTAATGAGGCTATAACCAATCCCAATCAATGGAATTTTGATCAGTTTATAGAAACCATTGCGTGAAAACCTGATAAAAATAATATACGTGTTCAGCATTTTATAAAACGGATGAGAAAAAAATACGAAAATAAGATTCCGGATCCAGGTGAGCGTTTTAGTTATGTGGTAGTCCAACTTGATAAAGTTTTCGATTTAGCTGGTATGAAACTTAAACCAGGGAAAGCAGATCAGATGGAATTTATAGATGTTGCTAAGGAACAAGGTAAAAATATAGATTTATGTCATTACTTTGAAAATACTATTAAAGCGCTTTGCGCCCGATTTATTATGTATGATAAAAAATACGAACTACCATCTACTGACAAAATCATGAAAATTATGGATTTAGATGAAAAATATAAACAAATCGATAGTTATGCTCAAGAAAAGGCCAAGAAGTGGTTTGAGTCATATATCAAGGAGATAAATGTAATAAATGGAATTGATTCTAAAATGATATCTAATCGTGGGTATGCATACAAATGTGCATATAAGGAAGCCGTAAAAGAAGCAAGGGTAATGTTATCTAAAAAGATAGGAAATATATACGAGGCTCTCCAAGGGAATTGTATTAATTACGAACACTTTATATGCGATGATCCAATCTCCAAAATATGGGAGAATCTAGTTGCGTATATCGAAACAATAAAAAGAGGGGAATTAGATATCAAGAAAGAGGTACGTATAGAAATTCTGATTGAGCCAGATATTATAAATTCCATACGTTCTAATCTTGCAGAGCACATCAATAGTGTTGCAAAAATTGCTATTAAATACGATCCATTCTTCCATAAGTTGGTATACCATATGAGATATAAAGAACATGTAAAAAATCCGGATAAGATAGGATCCTTTGAAACAATGCGAAAAATTGAGAAGATTATTGATCAACCAACCTTACCTTATATATCAGAAGCTGATCGATTAATACTTGAAAGTTTTCAAAAAACGTGGAATGAATCAGTTAATATATTCTATACATCATGTGAAGTGAAGATGTGTTGAGACATATGATAACAAAAAAGATGACCCACCCGAAGCAGATATTGATGAGATCATCGATCTATATTGTTAAGTACTTCATTAATGGCCCAATATTAGTGATACTTATACATTATAAATATTAAGATAATTTTTTCGTACATAAATAATATCCAAGTTCAAATAGATACTCTTGTTATCCAGCCCATGCATTCCGTAACTGCTCACTTTTCCTCTCCAACCTCCACGCGCGCTTTATCACGAACCATATAAAAGCTATAATTAATAAACCGAGTATAATAAATGCCATTAGAGGTGAACTACCTGCTATATTAGGAATTGCTTCTATTCCTCCCACTGAAAATTGAGGATATGATTTAATTGGAAAGGGAGTATGGTTTTCTTGTGCAAGGTGCGAGATCACATTCTCTGATGTAATTGGCGATACATCGGGTTTTATCCACGCATCTTGTATATTATCTTTATTAGTTTCATCATCACTTACCTTGGGAATAACCTCAGTATCGACTTTTGGTGGTTCACTAATCTCATCATTGATATATGCCAAAACATTATCATCATTTTTTTTTGCCTCTTCCATAATTTTTCTGCGTGCTAGATACGGTCTAAGACTTTTGCTAGGCTCAATAACTGTAGATATATTAGATGCGAAAACATCCTCACTCCGTGAGTCAGACTTGGCTGTATTTTTTTCGCCACTCCCACCAGTCACAGATCGAGTCATATCATCCGATTTCAGATGTTCAAGTTCACTAATTTTTGATACCAGTTCACTTTTCATTTGTTCCACTTCGGCTATTTTAGATTTAAGGGACAATATCTCAGATTCTTTTTTTAGTGAGTCTTCTTGAGTCGAAAATGCATCCTTCTGTGCTGAGGCTAACTTACCTTCCAATATCTTGATCATAGACTCAAGCGATCTAATTTTCTTGGATTTTGTAACTATCTCGGCCTTGGATTTTGCAGCAGAAAGATCTTTACGAATATTCTGAGAGATAAGGTTAGTATTTTCAATCTTCAACCGCTTAGTCTCACCAATAAGTTCTAAAGCGTGTGTATGTAACTTCTGCTTATCGCTATTAACATTATCAAATGAACTCTCCCATTGCTTTCTTTCCCGATCCCACTGTTTGCTGTCCTGAACCCACTGCTTCCTTTCCTGATCCCACTTCTTATTTTGTTTTAATTGGTCAGCTCGCAATGTTTTAATGCAGGCATTTAACCCTGATATAATTTCTGTGCCATAACGCAATTCTTCATTGATATCCATATTAATTGGGATAAAGAAATTGATGATATATATAACTTATATAGCTCTGCTAATGTACTATATGCACAAACAAGTCTGATAAAATTAGCAAAGTTGGGTATATATGTGTGTCGAGTTTGATATATTATATGGGATATATATAACAAATGGAGATGTATATGTATGTTGAGCTTGATATATTATATGGGATATATGTAGCAAATGGAAAATGTATATATATTAGATTAGAACGTCTGTATTCAATGAGGATTATACCTGTATATTTAACATATTACATTTTTTTGTTATATTTTATATTTTTTGCTAGATATAAATATCTTATATTTTCAAAATAACAAAAAGAAAAAGTGCTTATCACTATGGTTAGAGTGCGTATGAAATTTGGTACACCTATATTTTCTCCAGCAGATTATGATTATATTATGCAATGCCGTGATATAGAACCAAGATATAAAATTTTAAAGGATTTATTAGATAAATATAAAACATCATCAAAACGGATTTATCAGATCTGGAGAGGGGAAGAAGCTAATAGAGTTGCTTGGGATCAACCTATACCTTACCCACAAGATAGTAATTCTAATCAAGATATTAATTGTCTTGAGTCGGAGACCCATGGCTTTGCCACTGACACTAGCTCCGCTAATAAACCCGATCCTACCATAAATGTTCTCCATATAGAATCTCAACCTTTAGATAGGGACAAAGTCCCATTGCTTTGCAATAATGTACCAGTGGGACCAGCACAATCAAGTAAGCGAACAAAAACAAAGAGATCCAAATCTGATCGGGTATTGAATCCACCTGTCATTTCCAAAGACTTAACAGAAAAAATAGATCCAGAAAAACTTGCTCATTTTAGACATACAGTAAAAGAAGGTAGGGAGGAATTAGCAAATTTGGAGTACAAGACCGATGAAACATAGACTCTCAACTTTATCTATCCTTCTCTCTATTTTTGCTAGATAACCCAGGTCCTATGGAGCGCTCTTTGAGCTTATAATGTTGAATAAGGGCAATGAGGTTGGCAATAATTTTAGTTGCATCATGCATTTCTTCCACATACCTCTTGCAATTTATGCATTTTTTTTTAAAGTCGAATTGGCGGAATCTGTCTCCTGAGAAATTTGGTCCGATGTCAAAGACTTATTATCTTGAGTTACTTTTGTGCAGTTTACCTCAAGTTTATTTTTAACTGGATGCATATTAACTGAAATGAAATATTCCTTACCGTTACATATGAGTTTCAACTCACGCTTTGATGCAAGTAAATCATAATCATATTTATCGAGTAATGTATTGGGTAAAATTAACATTGGTTTGCGATACTTAACGACGGCAAAATCAGAATGTATGGTACAACCCGGAGCAAAAGTCACAGGAACATTACGAACGGTCCCAATAGATTCAGTAGAGGTAGTGGCAATTCCGCTGAGATCATGCTTTTCTTTTGTATCAATTACTAACTTGGCACGTTTAGCAATATCCTCGGTCATAATTGGAAAATTAGCACAAGAATCAAGACCGGCAGCCGGAATTATCAAACGTTTGATTTTACATTCTGCAGTTGCAATATCTGTAGCTGGATCCCTTCTATGAACTAAGTCTATCTCCATAGGATCATCTAATGTCTCCTCTTCCCCATCCGAATCAGGAATTTCTGAAGCTGGCTCTCGATGGTTTGTAAAATCCGGTAAACATTTATTTTCGAATTTAAGTTTCTCTATCTGATGTGGAAGTAAGACTTTTTCAAGCATGTCCAATAAAATTCGTCGAATATCTTGCTCAAGGAGAGTTGATTTATTTCGAGACTTACCAGAAGTGGAGGTATTTTTCTGTTTTGTCTTATGGGATTTGGATTTCTTTTTTGTTGATGATTTATGTGTCTTGGCACTAGCTCCACTATTCGAACTACCCTTCTGCTTTACTTTTTTTTTGCTCTGGCAGTATTGATAAGTTTCGCGATTTCGGCATCAGTTAAGTCACCCTTAGAATTAGATTCCAATTCAGAACTGGTTGAGGATTCTCCGGAATCAGATTCCGTCTCAGAGTCAGTATTAGAATCAGATTCATTATCAGAAGAGTTAGTATCCGAACCTGATTCAGAACTCGAATCTACAGTAACCTTATTAATCTTACCTTTCTTCTTGGATTTCCTCTTGCTAGAACGGTTGGGCTTGCTCTTCTTTTTATTTTTCGGGCAATTGTGGGAATTATGACCCAATTTACCGCACTTTGAACATTTATATTGGGATAATTTTTTAACAAGATGTATTAATTTTGCTTGGTTAATACTCATATCATCAAATTGTGCTACCAAATCATCAATCGGGTCATAGTCATAACCTTCTCCAGGTTCGCTCGTACCATCTATAAACTGATCTAAAAAACGATTCATAGAAAGATTATCTGCTTTTTGTTTTCCCGGACCTGGAGGTTTCTTCAAAGCACGGTCTCCTCTAGCAATAGTTCCTTTCAAACCAGTTATAAATTTTTTGAGATCATTTCGTGAAAGCGTGATTTTACCAGACTGATCTTCCTGAGACTTAGAAGAGGTAGGTTCCGCAGATGCCATTGCGGATTTTATTAGGCTTTTTACTTCAGATTCGGTCAGACCTGTATTACTTGAGTAATTATCCTTTCCACGGGATTTAGATGTTAGAGTGGAAGAAGTATAATCACCTAACATTTGTTCCACTTTATATTTTTCAATTTCTTCTAAGCGATTTACTAAAAAATCTATGGGATTATCCACTCCGATTCGGCGAGCTTCTATTTGATTATCGGGAGAAAGACCACGCAGAAATTGTAATCGAACCTGTCTAGCGTCAAGACCACACATCCGTGCCATTTTTAGAAGTTTAGCGTAGAAACGGGATATGGGATCATTCCCTTGTACAGTTAAGCCAAATAATGACTGTTGTTTTTCTCGTCTAACTGTGGGAAAGTCGTCTTTGAAAAGGCTAATAAGCTGACCAAGCGTGATCCCACGTAATACTACTGTTTGACCTACCCGATTTGCATCCGGCGCAACTGGATCTTTAGGTGTAGGTCTCCCTCCAGCTGGCTCCCAATTTTCATCAAATATTGTATGTGCTGGAAGTATTAAGGCACCAGCACCGGCATCGGCCGCCACTAATCTTCCATTAAGATCTACGGGAGCGGATGGAGTTAAGTGCCCCGTAATTCGAGCATGGCCATCTCCCTGAAGTTGGGCCATGGTTCGGTTAACTGTGGAATAAATATTTGATAATTCCCAGTTCTTACCTGCGACCTCTCTTTTCAACCAATCTGAAGCATCGCCTCTAAGACTAGCCTTAAATAATCCAAGTGCGCTAACTCTATCAGCTTCGTTTGCTAGATTATTACCAGAGGCAGTTAAATATCTCCTAAATTCATTTACATAGTACTCAATATCTTCATCACGGTAACCGTGAAAAAGTGGGGGTGCATATCCTGCCATTCCTCTATGTTGATTATTTATAGGTGGATTATTCTGTAGCACCAAAATTTGTTGATTCAAATTATTAATTAATTGCTGTGAGTTGCGCTCCCTATTTTTCCACTTGATATGACTTGTCTTTCGGTCCTTGAATTTATTGTAATATCTATCGAAGAGCCGATCTCGATTATATTCTAATAATCCTATATCATTTTGTAAATTCCTACCATGTTCTCGGCAATTTTGTAACTCCTGAGTAATATTCTGATTTCTATTTCTTTGATTTCTCCAAGCGGTCCTTGCTGTATTAAATTCCACGTTTAAGATTTGAGCCTGCCTTAAATTGCGAACTTGTCATGCAATATGAGTTAATCCTAATATACGCAATTTCTGCTTTAATTCATCATATGCAAACTCACCTTCTGTAATATCTTCATGCGCGCCTTCCAAAGATTCTCTTATTTGATAGCATTTATCTCGACATTCATTTAACCGGTCTTGAGCTTGCTCATATAACCTCACTTTCTCGACTAATTCGATTTGGATGGTCTCATTTTTTTCAGATAGCACATCTATCTGTTCTTTGAGAGTTTCATTTAATGTACCCAGCTCATTGGTTAACTCCTGTTGATTGAAATTTATATCCTTTAAATTTATAACTTCCTGCCTTAGCTGAGTTACTTCATTTTCAAAAGTATAACATCCATTCTGGATTTGCGTTAATTTTAATTCAGCTTGTGTCTGAAAATTATCAATTTCATCTTTTAAAAGAGTATTATCCCCTCTAGCTGAATCACCTAAAAGCTTGATATTTGTTCTCACATCTGTTATTAAATTGAAAACTGGTGTATTTGTGGATGGTAGATGTGTCATATCCAATGTCATTGTTTCCCGAAGTTTTTGGATTCTATGTTGAAGGGAGAATAATTCACTGCTCATATCTTGTAACTGGAGTTCGAGAGCAGATATATTTTTATCATTGGACTGTGCATCCGCCTCTGCTCTCCGGAGTCTTATTTTGAGATCGTTTACCTGTATTCGGAGAATATCGATCTCGTCATCTCTTGTAGTTATCTCTTTCTCCAGGTAAGTAATGTAATCCTCATTTTTCTGGATCTGAATACGTAATTTCTTGATGGTCACAACAAGATTATCCATCGAAATGTAATTTGACTAGTCAAGTTTTGGAGAAAATATATATACATCGATCACATCCTTCATGAAATAACGATAAATACGCTTACCTGTTTATTTTGTATGTCTTACCTATATATCTCATATGAAATGAGTAATCCTAGTATAGTTATAGATCCTAATGAGGCTCGTGATATTGAAAAAAATCTTATATTGCGTGAGTTATATTACCGCCCTACTGGTTTTTTCTCCAATACGAAAGGGTTAAGAGATGCATGCCGGAAGAAGGGGCATAAATTTAAGCTTTCCGAAATTAAAAAATGGCTCACAAATCAGAGTATATGGCAGATACATGTACCACCCCCGAAACGCATTTCCAGAGTGAGTTATGGGAAAATTAGCAAGCCAAATTGTGTACATCAGTGTGATCTCTTATTCCTTACACATGATCATTATAAAGGTAAAAAATGGGTGGCAGTTCTCAACATAGTGGATGTGAGTAGCAGGTACAAAACATCAATTCCATTAACATCGAAGAAAAGTTCAGAGGTTGCTAAGGCATTCAGGAAAATTTATAATAATCCCAATAACCCTCTTACCTATCCTCAATTATTACAATGTGACGAGGGGGCGGAGTTCAAAAAATCAGTTAGCCAGTTAATGAAAGAGCATAATGTCATAATTCGAGTTATTGGTCCATACTCTCATCGTGGAATGGCAATTGTAGAGAGATTCAATCAGACGATCTCGAAAATTCTCTATAAAATCCAATATGCTGTCGAAAGTAAAACTCAAGACCTTAGATCAATAAGAGCATGGGTTAAGTATTTACCAAAAGTCATTGAACACCTCAATAATTATCCTACGCGTCTTATTAAAACTCCAGGTTCATCGAAATGGGGTTTAGCCCCCAAGCTGGCCATTCGGTTAGAACGAGTAGAATCTAGGCCATCTACAAACTACAAGCGTCCTGTTGGAAAGGATGAAGTAAAATTAAAAAAAGGCGATACCGTTCGTTATTTACTTGCTAATGCGGAGTGGGAGGGTGGTATGGAAAATCAAAGACGAGCTACGGATCCCACGTTCAGTTCAAGTATTCATACTATCCGCAAAATTGTTGTAACAAAGAATGAACCAGTTTTATATTACTTAGAAGGTGATGAGTTCACACCAAAACGGGAATTTGTGCGAGAAGAACTCTTACACGTCAATATTGATACGCTTCAGTATCCACCTCAGAATATATTGGAAGAAAATACTCGCTCCAGATCCATTAATTTCGTTCATGCTGCCAATAAAATGGCTAAGGCTCAAGCTTATGCGGAGAAATGTTCTGGCAAGTGTCTAGGAAAAACTGGCCATATAAATGGATTCGATGTTTATCTCTGGACATGCGAAAATGGACTCCATCAGTGGGAGGCGCCTTATAAAACTCAGAAGCAAAAATTCGAATGGTGTCCAATTTGCCCACACATCCATGAAAGGAATTGTCGATATATTTTTGAGGATCTACTGGGTAAAAAATTTCCACCATGCACACCAAAATTCTTGGATGGATTGAGACTCGATGGGTATAATGAAGAACTAAAATTGGCATGGGAGTATAATGGAGTCCAGCATTTTTATCGCAATAGTTTATATCATAAAAATCAAGGTGACTTAGATTCACAAAAGGCGCGCGATCAAAAAAAACGGGAAATATGCAAAAGGGAAGGTATAGATCTCATCGAAATTAGCTTTAATGATGATTTATACGAATTTATTAAAAATACACTCATTGTAAAAGGTTATTTATGCGATAAAGAATAAACTCATAAGATAAGTATGACATATAACAAACTTCATCTACTTGTCTTGCCTGAACTTTTAACCGAAATTTTCTCATATCTTACTGAAGACAAAGCACTATTCCCAACCTTATTCGTTAACCGGTTCTGGTATTTATACTCCGCTCCAGTATTATGGAGAAAGGCTGATTTTATCGGTAGGCTAAACAATGTATGTATAGGTTGGAGAAAATTTAAAAAAGTAATGCGTGAAAATTGAAAACCTCATGCTTCATATTTACTTCAACTTCATATCTCTAGTTGCAAGGTCTCTAATGATGAGCTATATGGAATTGCTAGATCCTGTCCCAATTTACGTCATCTAAAAATCAAATGGTGTTGTGGTTTATCTGATAGAGTTATTAGTAAGATTACGCAAATTTGTCTTCTGGAATCTCTCAGTATTTCGTGTAATAGTAAAGGTATAAAACGATTTAGCAAATTAAATAATATGAAGGATACAACTTTATGTAAAATCGCAAATTCATGCCCAAATCTATAATACCTAAAACTTGAATCTTCTAAGATAACTGATATATCATTGAGAACAGTTGCTCAATCATGTATTAATTTGCGTTACCTGAAATTGGGATATAGTAAACACATTACTGATATATCTATAATCAAGATTGCACAAAACTGCCCATACTTAGAATATCTTGGTTTACAGACAAGTAATATTACCGATGCATCATTAAAACAGATTGCCGAATCGTGTCCAAAACTTCTTATTCTAAGTTTAGTCGGATGCCAAAAAATAACAGATGGGGGTATATGTGCAATTTCTTCAGCTTGTTCAAATATGCAATTATATACCTTAGAGGACTGTGAAGGGATTACTGATATATCGGTTAAAAAAATCGCACAATCAAATCTGAACCTTAAATATCTCAATCTTGTTTGGTGTTACCTTATATCTGATGAGTCCATTTGTGAGATAGCACGACTCTGCCCTAAGCTCGAAGGTCTTCAACTCGAATCTTGTGATATTACTGATACGTCTATTTATGCAATAGCACATTCGTGTCATAATTTGCGGGGTCTTAATATTAAAGATTGTCATTATCTCTCTGATGTTACCATTAATACTTTAATAAGCAGAAAATCCAATATCATTATTCCTGGCTGGAATCCGGCAGATATAAATAGTGGGTCGGATACAGATGTGAATAGTGAGTCAGGTATATCATTATAGCAGAGCTAAACTCGGAGAGTCATTTCAAGGAAATAGTATCAAGACACATAAAAAATTGGATAAATATATATGGGTATAACCAAGTATCTCTAACATATATATAGTAATAAAGATCATTATTTTTCAGGTATAATAATTAGTGACTTAGCTTGATCGAGATGAAAATAGAAAAGCTTGATCCAGTTGAGAGGATGGTTTTAAACATCGATGAATACAGCAATATAGAGAGATTTAACAGCCTTAATTCAACACCCCAATGGCCTTTCACATTACTAGTAAGTGGGCGAACTAGATCGGGGAAAACTAATGAAGTTATCAACCTTTTACTTGGAAATAAAATGTATCGATTATTTAATGGGAAAAAGGGTGGAACGAGATATATTAAGAATGATGATTTGGTTTTGATCGGTCATCAAATTAATGAGCTCAAGTATAAATATCTCCGTGATTGTTATAAAATAATTGCAAATAGTCCCAAACCATATCGTGAAGATGTTACATTCAGAGCAATGAAACCTGATAAAATGCCAAAAGTTGATGACTTTTCTCCTGAAAGAGGGACAGTAGCTGTATTCGAGGATGTGTGTACTGAATCTAAAAAAATACAAAAAAAAATTGCGTATTATTTCACTGAAGGGAAGCATAAAAATATTAGTTCAATCTATGTGATACAGAGCTTCTTTGAGTGCCCGAAGTTAATAAGAAACAATCTCGATTATATTGTTCTCTTCAATGGTAGTGGTACATATGATAAGCTAGTTAATATTGCCTGACGATACACAAAAAATTGGCAAAATGTTATTGATATACTTGATAAAAATTTGCAGGGTCGGGAATTCATCGTAATTGATTTAACAAGAGCAAAAAAGAACCCTTTTTACATAAGGAAGTGTTAGGACACTGTTTTGGAATTAGATAGATAAAGCGTGATATACTCACTACTTATGTGTCTTGACACTAGCTTCACTATTATTGGGACTTCAGACTTGCAAGTAATTTTTCCGCTTTTTGCAATTTTAATTTTTGTTGATTGATTTCACTGCGCAATTTATTATTAGCATTAATTCGCTCTTCAATCTGTTTAGTGATTTCTTGCATAAAAGGGTCAAAAGTTTTTTCGTTGAATTCAAGCAATTGTCGAGATAAACTATCTAACTCTTTCTTAACACGAGTATTGATTTCCTCCTCATGATCACAAATCGGGTCAGTATCTTGGGTTTGAGTTTCTTGATCAGGCATATCTGTATCATATAAGAAATTTTTTCACTATAGGCCAGCTTTTTCGTTGGTATTTTAATTTTTTCTGATATCTATTAACTTCATGTCTTAAAAAGGATTTGACTAATGGGTTTATTGAGCTGGCTTCTTCTTCGGTCATCGGATTTCTCTTTCGAGAGATTATACGTGACCACGCTTCACAAACAAGAGAAGGTGGTAATTTATTAATCAAACTTGAATATACTTTATTGAATTTCATAGTATATAATAATTTTGATATTGTATTTTACATCGCAGAAAAAAATGGAATTTTCATGAAAAATATGAAATGTATATCAATAAAAAAATAGCTATTGCTTCGTAGGTACATAGTGCCTAATCATCACGAAATAGTAAAAAATAAAGTCTAAAGTACTAGTCCTCAGATGATTTTATTTTAAATAAATAGATAAATTACATCAAATAAGTTATACATTAATAAATAGATAAATTATATCGAATAAGTTATACATTAATAAATAGATATATTAGTCAAATAAATTAAGCTATACATTATTAACTTGACGTATTTCTTCTCGAACCACCCATAATAATTGATAATGTTCAGCTAATAGTGAAGCACATAGGCCAGAGGGGCGGTAATACCATTCAATAAATTTCCGTTGTATAGTAATACATGCCTGAATTTTTCTACCGACTTCTCTTGCACGTTTAACTCTTCTAATAGTATTCTGCATCCACAATTCATATCGACGAATCGCTTGCTTTTCATCAAAAGAGTTAGTAAGTCCAGACTTCAGTTTATTTTTAAACTCTATATAATCTCTGAAGCTAATATCGCAATAAGCATTTCCTGTACAATTTGTACTCCAGTGTTTATCCATAAAATGACAAATTCCATATTTACATCCTATATTAGAATAAACGAGTTTATTGCAAGAATAACATATCGCTATGTTTACACCTACAGCATGGCCAAGATCGCCTTCCCATAAATATTTCATTTTATTAGCAATAATATATCGCTTCATACTACCAGCCAAGCGACCTCTATTTTTATAATCCATTAACCTATCCCAAATCCGTTTCATCCAATCAGATGGAGTTTCTTTACTATGAATTCCTGGTAATTGACAATAATCTTTCCATTCAGTCTCGTCTAATACTGGGCACTTATCTGTATAGACCATATTTAACAATTAAGTGATTTATAGTGTTTTAGAGATTATGTGATTTATACTATATTTAGGTTCGATATAGTAAAGAAATACTAGATTCATTTTTAGTGCGATTGAGTTTTGAAGCCGTTTTTCGAGAGTATTATAGCGGAGCTAGCGACGAGACACATATTTTTATTTTATTATTTTTTTCGAACCATATTGATTAAATATATATACAACTGATTCAAATCAATATTACATATAACAATATAGCGAAGCTGATGTCTAAGGTATCTAAGATGTGAAATATGTATTGATGGAAAAAAAAATAGATATAGTTTATAGATTGTTAATTTGACGCATTTCTTCCCTAACTGCCCATAATAATTTGTAATGCTCGGCTAACTGCGTAGCACACATACCTTCAGGTCTGTAGAAAATTTCTAACCATTTCTGTTGTATGACCTTTGCAGCTCGAATCCTTTTACCAGCTTCTCTAGCACGTTCGATTTTTCTGATAGCGTTTTGCATCCACAATTTATATCGATGTAATGCATACATATCATCA